TTTCTGCCATAGTTCTGGAGTGATACTGCAGCTAGATGATCACACCTCATATTTTGTACACTTCGGGTAGGATGATAGAGGAGCAGCAGACCATACTGGCAGTTTCTTCGTACCTGAGAAGTGAGGTCCTTCATCTCCAGCTCAGAAAGAATAAACTCTATTTATAGAGGTTTCTTTACAGTCAATAAACAGAAAAATAGTCAAGAGGACCCATGAAGGTTCATCCCACCTCCTGTCCTGTCTCCTACAGTGATGGATGATTAGGACAGAAGGGCTCACGGATGTCCCACAGCCTGGCTGCGCCATGTCATTCCCCAAACACGCAGCTCTGATCAGGAAAAATACACGCATCGGTTGCTCCAGGCTGAGTTTGACTTCTATGTTTAGACATCAGCTCACACACTGGACAAGTGGGCCTACTGGGACAAAATGCACCAGCCCCTCCACTTACACACACGGGTCTCCTCCAGCGTGAGCGCAGGGCTCTGCCCTGTGCTGACACTGTAGAGGGAGCAGAGTCAGTTCAGCAGCTCTCTGTCACGTCACATTATATGTTCTGAAGAGCACACGATGCTTTGGGCACAGCAAAACGCCTGAAGGACTCAAAATGATAATCAATAGGAGCAGAGCTACAAGCTGGAGGTGGGCGCTGCTTCGCAAGGACTTGAAAGGAAGGTCAAAGAGTTTAAACATGACACTATAGCAGGTTTCTCATTTGGCTTCTTCTAAATACATCATATTCTGAAGCCAAGACTTTCAAAACAATCACTAAAAGCTAGGGTCATAAATCCCTGGCCGTAAAGCAGTGACCCGAGTTTCACCGAGTTGCGCAGAAGGCCTGGTCTTCTGCTGCTCAAGTCGATAAAAACAACTGTGTGGTCCCCAGCGGGTGCAGAGCCAGGCTGAAATGCATTCTGGAAAACAATCCTTCCCCTCCTTTTTTGGAGAATTTCACTTCAAATAAGAAAATAGCCCTGAAAAAGTATTACTTCCACTTGAAATGCTGCTGCCTGAAACTGCTAACAATGGTGACCTTTTTGATTTCCCTTGCTTCAGTGTGAAATATTAACAATCTCCTCAAATTTGACAGAAACCAAAAATTTCAAGGGCATAAAATTGCCTGAAATGAAATAGCAAAATTACCTGTGGAAATGCATGTAAGAAATACTTTCACACCTCCCCACTTCTTATTTGTCAGTACTTTAACCGCCACACAAATCACTTCTGACCCATGCAGGTAGAGCCACAATTAGTTTAATTACACAGCTCAGGCTGTTGTTCAGTCAATTAGACTTTTCCTTCCATCCACACCATTTTAATGACAGCCAAGTAGCCCCAAGGCTCTTGCGTCTTGTTTAGAGCCGTGACCAGCTGATCAGGGCACAGCAGACTCTCAACCGATTTTCTGCTCACTGCAGCAGCAGCATATGCTTGAGATTCCCGCATCCATGAAAGCTGGAGGGTCTGGGGAAGAGCCCCCCGTGGCAGCCTGAGGATGCTGGCAAGGCGCTGGCCCCACATGGAGCCGGCTCAGGGCTGGAACATCGCTGTCCTGCCCAGCTGGGTCTGACGGACAGGGTTTATGTTTCACAACCCTCTCCACACGCTGCCCAAGAGGCAGCTGCTGTGGCCACCCAACCTTTCATCTCCCTTCCCCTGAAGAGAAGTGACTGCTCAGTTACAGGAGAAATCAGCGTGCACAGAGGATGCGAGAAGAAAATAAATCAGCTTTGCTGGGTGATGGAGTTGCCGGGTGGCCTCCACCTCCACCCCCACTTTTCCACCCTCCTGCATGAGATTTGGGTTGTTGATGTCCGGGTCTGACCTGCAGCTGTTGCCCAACCTCCCTTCTCTGGCAGCAGACCCAGGCGACCCGCGTTGCTCCCGATAACGTGGGAGGTGAGGTTGGCACCACACCACAACCCTATCCAGGTAGGCAGAGCGGATAAGGGGGACATGAGTGCATTTTGTAAACCATTAAATGAACATGATATCCACATGAGGCCAGAATACACCTTGTAGCCCCCAGCCGTGATCCTGGGAGGGCTGTGGCAGCCCCTCACAGCCCTGAAAAAAATAAGTGAAGAACCCCTGAGCTCCTGGCACTGGCTGCAGCCTACTGCATGGTCGCTTTGCCAAGCGGCACCTTTATTTTTGCATTACGCACACAGGAGGAATTGGGTCAGCTATTGCAATACTCTCCCTGGCTCAGGCTGCCTGCTTGAATCTCCTCTGGCTCC